TAGAGCACATAATTATAACTAGAAGAGGCCAAAAACCGAATCTAGTGGGAGGACATCCAAGAAGGAGCCTAAACATCGCAACGCACTCACGATAATACTAACTCTCACTAGGAGAATCTAGATTTCAAAGGGATAATAACACACAATTAACTCCCAACGAGAGAATCTAGATCCCAAAAGGATAATAACACACAAAAAACACATAAAAAAACACATAAAAAAACACAAAAACACTAGACTATAACCATTCCCTCGGCTAGACTACAACACCAAGCAGACCACGACAGCGACACCCAAAATCGACCACCTAATCGGACCAGACCACGACCCGAATTTCAAACCTAGAAACTGCCACACACGCCTAACTAAATTTGAAACCCGATACCCGACTGCGTGACTAGGCAGTCAACCACTAGACCTCAGCCAGAGGACAGCACGCAGATCCCCAACCACCCCACCACCGTTCCGAGCCCAACCCATACCACGGGCTTCGGCTCATTACGCCAGTCGTCCGCACCTCCCAAGCACCAGGAGAGAAGAGGACCAAGGGGAAAAGTCAGCCACCTCCATGCCGATACAAACACATGGCAATCGACACCACAACCCAACCCCTCAAAAGCACAAAAGTCCTTTTGACTAGTCATGAGACGAGGACTCGAGGAAATTGAAGCGATACATGAAACGCCAACATATTTCCAATGACTGTAAAATTGTTTATTACACTAATTTATGCGTTGTGATTTGAGAACTTGGATATGTCCACAAAAACTGTTCAATAATATATGATATTTCATTTTCATAATGTTTTTACTGCATGATGATTATTTTTTTTAGTAGCAGTTACGATATCCGGAGCTATGTCCCGACTAATCCGTTGGTCGACACGGGTTGCATGATGATTATTTTATTAGAAAAGCAAAACTACATTGTTAAAAGAAAGTAGGTAATAAATCTTCACATGCATCGCATACGATGCTCAGTAATACCTATATATAACCTATATATAACATATCACAATATGTAATTTGTGAAATATATATTATTTGTATATATTGTTAGGTAAATTAGGCTCAGTGGAAACTCTAAGTTATTTGTTAATTATTAAATTGTAAAAATAAAGTCAACCAATAATTAAAAGTTATCAAATATTCTTTTGGAAAAATAGATAATATAATACTGATAAATAAATAAATAAACCTATTGAGAGATGTATAGTTGTATGTATATTGCTATTAAGAGACGAATAAATAAATAAATAATATTTCCTCGAACTATTTAAAGGTCGGATTTATCGATTCGGAGTGCCCTTTCTTCATACTGATTGCCCTATAATTTTTGTGTCTTTAAATACATTTAATTTAATCTTATAAATAAAAAAATAGTTTGTGATTCATATAAAAAAATTATAACAAACAAAAAAAATAGATTTTAAGCTATAGAATTAAGATAAATTATTGTTTCTTACCGCTTATTTATAAACAAGTAAATAACTTTTATAAAAAAGTTTTACAATAAATCTTGGAGATAATCTGTGGTTCAAAGATTGCATGATAAAATTAGACAGTGATAACAATAATAATAATATATAATAATATATTAAATCGACGATAGTATTTGATATTTAGTTATTTACAATTATTAAAATTTGCAAAATCTATTAACTTTTGGTCAAATTCACGCATAAAGAATTCATTTGGTTCCCAATTATCTTTGGACATTATTATTTTTTTTTTCACGAAACGATAGAAAATATTATAGATCAAAACGCACAAATGTACAAAGTACATAGCCCATGGCTAAATAGAACAGCCAACAGCTGAAAATTGGGAGGCAGGTCAAAGACCGCCTAGAACCCGACTAGCAACGCTAGAAAACAAACTCAAAAACAACACGAAACAAAAACTACTGTGGAACGACCCCCAACAGAGTAATGTGGAACGACCCCAAACGAGGTAATACCCGCTCTCAGTCGGGCTCACAGGGGCCAACGCCCCAGACCAAAAATACAATCCTAAATTACATAAACTACTAAAAGACATAAAGCAAAAATAAAATAACTGAAGACAGCCCTTCCCCAGCTAACAAACGAGCTTGGCCAGCAGAGAACAATCAATCCAAGGAAGATCCCAAGCTCGGGCCTAACTACCGAAACTGCAAAAACGTCTATACAGCAGCCAAACCCGAGCCCCAAACCTAGCCCTCAAAATGATTCTCCCCCAATCGAGAGAACGACACCAACTCCCACACCGTCACAACCCAAATTTGTCTAACACCACTAGTCAAAATCGGGTGCTCCGGGCCCACCCGATCCCAACACCAGAGAACCGAGGGAGAGGGGGAATGACTCAATCCTACAACTCCAAACTTCAATGACGAAAGGCACCATGGCAGCCCGAGCCCCGCTCCACCTTCAGACCCTCCGACCAGCCATCACCGTAGTCCACCGGCAGCCAAAACAAAACCCAAAAAAAGAAGCCCGACCTAGGAAACGGACCTGCCACCATCCGCTGCAATACCTAAAATAGGGGTCGAATACCTCCAATCGGGACTCACACTACAAAAAAACCTCTTACATTCCAACGGAAATTTTCCGTTGGAATTCTTTATATATCCGTTGGAATAGATATTCCAACGGATATTCCTACGTATAAAAATTTGTGGAAAAAACGGCCGTTGGAATAGCTAAAATCCAACGGAAATTCCTGTGAAAATAAATTCCTACAGCTATTCCAACGGAAAAAATCCGTTGGAATTCCTCAATCATCCAACACTTTTTCCAACATAAAATTAAGTTTGTTGGAATATTCATTGGAATTTCCAACGGAAATTTTTGCCATTGGAATTTTTCGTTGGAATTGAAGTGTTTTCTTGTAGTGTCACCTGCAATCGATGCCACCAATCACAAGCCCAAACGCAGCCCGAGGAGCTCGCCCACATCAATCTTTGGACATTATTCAACCCAACAAAATGTTGAATTGGAATATGCATTGACAACCCCGAAATGAATGTTGTGTTGAGATATCAAAACAAATGCAATCTATACTTATATTAAAGGTCATACCATTTACTTAAATTAGTATGTAGAAAAGTCAAAGCAATTAATGCTTATCTATTTTTATCATTTGAATATTATATTTTAT